GATCTGTGTGTCCAATAAGAGCCCACCTTTCAGTGAGGATTAAACCCCCTTAATTCTCTCTTCACAGAAAATTTGACAGTGTACTCCAAGTTCAAATAATAAACATCTTAACTGTTTATCGCAAAAATTAAGTGCAGAAAAAATGTATCAGCTGATTTTCAAGAGTGCTCCCAGTAAGCTTTCCTATCAGACCTTCTAAACAAGACTTCAGCAATCAAGTCTAAGTGTCATGCTGTTGAGACATTTAATTTTTAATTCATGTGGCTGCAGTCAAGAAATATAATATTGCAACAGAAAACCAAGCATAAGAACGTTTAAGAATACAATAAACATCAACTCAGGTTACGTGAATGGAGAACTTCATATCCAAGAACATGGTTCACCCAGATTATTCCTAACCATGCAGAGAAAATGTGTTTTTCTAATTCTTCAAGAAGGTAGACTGTAGGAAATTCTCCACTATTTTTGGATCTCCTTTGCAATGCATGGTAGAATCTATCCACTTCAGCATTTGCTTCCCTTTGAGCAGGTCAGCAGTCTCACTGAAGACTTTATTACCACAGGTGGGGACACACATTAATTCTGTAGGGAGATCAGCCCATAATTGCAGTCCTAATCCTCCATTGTGCTACAGCCCTTTGGAGCTAATTCACTAACATAAAGCAGCACTAAAGCTGGGGGTCAATCCTGGGGCTCTCCAGGAATTGAAACAAGGAATTGATGAGTTGCCTTCAGTTCCTGCATGGTCTCTTCTCTGGAGTAACAGCATGAGATGATGTGCAAGGAAAGAAAGGCAGAGCAAGAGCTCTTTTGCCTTGGGGATGCAGCTGAGTCACTGAAGATCAGAGGGGGCTGGAAACGGCTCCCATACACACCAGAAGCAAGGTGGCTACAGAATATCCTGGGGATCAAGAAGGCATAAGCACCACCATTCGCAGTTTAGAAACACAATCCTATGCCAAGAGAGGTCACATAAGTTGTGACTAATGATTCAAGTTGTGAAACACCAGGTGAAAGTTTTCTAAGGGAATGCTGTCTTTATATATAGACAATAATTCAAATCAAAAGGGTTTTAGCTAATAGCCATTGAAGGGTTGAAGCTAACAGACCTCCACTTCTTTTCGAAAATTAAGTGGTGCAAATGTACAATACAGACTTCAGAAAAGAATGGAAGTGAAGATGACATCCCCTTTTTTCCCTTTTATAAAATTATACTTGAGTTTTGGTGATGGAAGGAGGCAGAAATCATATTGTCTGACATAAATCAACCTTAGTGAAAAAACATAACAAACCCATGTCCCTATCTCCCTGGATGGGTGACGTAAAGTAAAAGAAGAGCCTTCAGGAGAGCCTTCTTCTAAATTAGAGGAGAAACTTTTCTCAGTTGTTTCTGTGGGGATCCTACAAAAAGTAACCTGCTAATAACTATCCTTCACATAGTTACATGTCAGTTAGTAGGGGTGGAATATCTTCCATTGCTAAAACTGTAAGCGACACAGAAACTTCATGGTTAATTGGGTGCTTAGACACATACACACTTAAAAAGTCTTTTCCAAAGGGTCCTTAATAACCTGCAGTTTTATTCATTTATTGAAGGGGATGTAAGTTCATAATACACTTATGAATAGAGAGTCCAAATTCCAGCTTCTGAAAATGTAACCCTCTATATATAGGTACAATAGCAAGATTAATCTTTTTCTTATTGGTAGGTTTGTTTCTTTAAATGTATAAAAACATAAAAGCTGTAGGCACCTAGACATATATTAAGAAAGACAAATTAACATCAACAACACCAACAGTCCTAGTAATTTCCTCTATGTACAATGGGAAAATGAACTTCTTTATTATGTACTAATCCCAGCTCAAGTATTCCTCCAGCCCTCAGCTGCCCTCTTACTCCTCAAAAGCCTGGCAACGGAGATGGGGGCTTTACAACATGCCTAAAAGCTGGGCAGTAAGCTCACTGCAGAAGAGGGAGGTGAAAATACCAAGAAAAACAAAGCACAAAACCCCCACCCTCTCTGAAGAACTCCTAATATTTTGATATGAAGAGAAGCTTTTTTATGCCCCAAGGCTACATGCATCTTTAGCAAACAAAGACTGTGTGTTCTTTTCTGTTCGCCTGCTGTTTTGTTTTTTTTCTAGTGAGGGGAACAAGAAAAATCAGAGGCACTTGGATCATTAAACATATTTATTGTTTAAACTGTAGGGCGGACGGTTGGACTTGGTGATCTTGAAGGTCTTTTCCAACTTGGATGATTCTATGACTGCATTACAGTCAGCCACCAAACAACCCCAAGAATTGCAAACCATTAACCGAACAACCGTAAATCAGGAAGCTGGTTCAAAATTCACAGTGTTTCCCTCCTGTGAGTATTGTTTTCTGCCACAGCTGTTCCACAACATGGATTTAAGCAAATGAGCTGAAAGACAATCTTGACAACATCCTTTTACTCTCATCTATAGTTTCCTAATATGTATGAAGGCTACAAAACCAGGTATGGTGTCACAGATGTGTCATGTGAGCTCAAAAATACAAAACTGAGCTTTTAGATTCACCCTACATCCCTACCATTTTGGTCAGATTATGAAAGAATTCTCCCACTTCTAATTACTGAAAAGCCACAAATGACTAAAGTTAGTGATTTATAAGAAAAATGTCAAGAAATCTGAGTAGTAACCAGTACTACCAATTATGGGTATAATTTGAAATAAATATGGGTATGTCTGAATCTAAAGTGAGGGTGAAGAGGGGAAAATGGCACCTGCTTGAGGGAGAAGGTGTTCTAGCATCTGTACACTATAAGGTTAAAAGAAATAGAGAGGCAATCCTGCAAGACAGTACAGTCCATAAAATGAATGTTCGTAAAGCAAAGAACATCTGTTTTCATTTAACTCCCAGTGTCCTTAAAAGTTACAGAACAGATGATGCCATAACAAAAATGCAGCTAATTCATAAAAGAATAAAAATAATAGCAAAGCCAGACAGTGCAAAACAGTAACCCTTGTGAAGAAAGGGAACCAAAGCAAATTATCAAAACCTTGCAGCTTTTTACCCAGTTCAGCCAGTTACATTACTCAGTTACATTACTCTTCAATGAAGTTCCCTCCTCAGACATGAATTCCAGAGAAAGTGTGAAAGGAAAAACAACATCAAAGCAAAGAGCAAATCATACTTCACATCATACTGACTGCCTTAAAGTGATCGATGCTCTGATCTTTACTCTGACAGCAGCAGTGGATATAAATATAATCTATATACTGGTTGACAGGGTGAAGGCAGAATACAAGTAGTTTTAGACTGTATCTCCACCGTGATGCTCATAAAACACCCTGCCCTTCCACACCATCCCCACGCAACCCTGCAACATCCTGTCACTGAGTTTCAGCCAAAAGAAGACAGTATGTGAAGGCCCCACAGTGAGACAGGCAGCTCCGCAGAGGAGGCAGGCGGGTCAGCTGGGACTGGGGCAGACTGGGGCAGACTGGGGGCAGCTGCTGTGGCCCCGAGGACAGGACCTCTGGTGCCAGGACACTGTGCAGAACAGATCCGACCCTGAAGAGGCGTTTGGCTCTGGGCGGAGCAGGTGCTTGTGTTGTCTGCGCTTTGCTGCTGGGACCGTGGGAAGCAGGCACGGAGTTCCCGCCGTGCTTCCGCAGGGGTGTTGCGGGCAGGTGGAGCTCCGTGCAGCTGTGGATGGGATGTCCCTCCGGATGGAGGGATTCCCTGAAAGCTTTTAACTCCTGTTCTTACAGTGCTACTCGCAGGAAAGCAGCTTCTCCAGAGAGCAGGATGCTCTTGCACGGACCGGCCAGTGCGGGGCGGCAGGAGCAGCAGCCAGG